ATATATATGTATATATATATATATATATATATATATATATATATATATATATATATATATATATATATATATATATATATATATATATATATTAGTTTAGGCTTGCGAGCCCACTACTTGAAGCTCGGCTCAAACTCGTTTAATAAACGAGCCTCATATTTAGGCTCGAGCTCGTTTAATTCGATCTCGAGTCGAGATTTTAACGAGTCGATCCCGAGTAGGTCACGAGTAGCTCGGCTCACTTACACCGTAGATACGAGAGAGAGAGAGAGAGAGAGAGAGAGGAAGTATTATATGGTCGATCTCATTAACAATATATGTCTCAGTGATTCAGTGATACATATACAAAGTTCTGATATCGGACCCTGACCCTGTATAGCAACAAAAAATGGAATATGGCAATGACAAGCTTATATTTTTTGACAACTCCCATATCAGATGATACATTAATGAGCCTGTCATCAAATACAAGTTTTGGCTTGCTTGTCGAGGAATACCTCCATTTTTTTTTTGACAAAATGATTATCTTCAATGCATCTCTGATTGGCATAAAAGTCAAAAAAAAAAAAAAAATTCAATTATATCTTGATGGAGAGTGCTGATTCTATCCAACTTTGCTGTGGATGAGCTTTCATGTCTTAACAAGGTTCGATACTTCACAAGGCTGTAAAGTAGAATTAAATATGAATATTTGCTTCAAATGTATATGAATTGGTTACTTCAAACCAAGATACAACTAAAAGAACGAAAAGACAAATATACAAATGAAAAACAAACATGCACATGATCAGTAATACTATCTTAGATATATTTCGTCTAACTACTAGAGTTCTAAATTCCTTATTATACCCATATGATATGGTCACCACAGTTTCAATATCTGTATTACAATACATAATTCCCAAATTACCTATCTATCCCTCAGAAGCATTATATAATTGCTATAGCATGTGATAGGGCTAAACTTTTGCGTTTTCTTTTAAATGGTCACTAAAGCTTTTTTTATTTGCAGTGTGGCTCCTTAAACTTTCAAATTTCGAGTTAAACAGGGAAATATCCCAAGTAAAGGGGTCGCCTGATAATCTTGGTGAGCTAGCTTTGAGATGGCTTTTTGGTTAACTAAAATGGTCCATGTGGCGCTGACATGACATCCATATGGATTTTTCTGTTAAATGTATTTTTTTATATATTAAAAAATATTTTTTCTTGTTCTTTTCCCCGTTTGAAAAATAGTTTTTTAAAACCATAAGTCCCACCATCATCATCACCACCATTGTCCACCTCCCACCACCAGCTTCCTTTAATCCATCATGAACACACCAAAAAAACTCAGAAAAATATGAAGGAATTCAATGCATAAAAAAACCCACAAAGTAACTTGAAATGTGTTTACCAAATAAAACAAAATCAAAAACTTGGCACTTTGATGAAGATGGAGGTTGAAAATGGAAGACCTCTACAAAACAAGTGAGCGCTTCTTATTCGGAACGATCCAACTTATTTTTATCCAAAATTTCTACCAATTTCAACATACAACATAAATCCCTACCTTATTCGAACCCTAGCTACACAATTTTATTTCCTACAGTAACCAAAAGAAAAACAATAGGTTTTACCTTCAATTTCGGTCTCGATATATCTTTCTCCATCTAAGACACTGCAGCCTCGATCTTCTCTATACTTCGTGTTTATGTTTGGCGACTAGACACCTAGACCTGGCAAAGCATGACATGACACGAGAGCCCGACACGAAATTAGCGGGTTAGGGTCAGAGATTTCGACACGTTTATGTAAACGGGTTGACACGACACGACACGATAATTAAACGGGTAGGGTTAGGGTCAAGACTTTTAACTCGAAGATGACTCGAATATGACCCATTTAACTATATATTATTTATTATAAATTTCATATTCTTATAAACATATTACTATATGTTATAGACTTGTAGTGGACCAAACTCAAGAATTAGAAATAATATTCAAATTTTCAAAGTTACTTAATTTTACTCATCCTCACCACATATCCTCTTTGCTGCCCAATTTTAGCTCTTTTCGTTTTGCCTTCTAAACTTACTAAATTTTTTGTCATTCCATCTCCTAACTCCATTGTTTCCCTTTTTCATTTTTGCATCCATAACTCCTACTTTCCAACCTTTAAAATGTTTCATGCGACATGACACAATATATTTACAAGGTCTAAACCTTAACCCGAAACTCGACACGAAAATAAATGGGTTGACACGACGCGACACGATAATTAAACGGGTCGGGTTAGGGTGAAGCCCTTTCAATCCGTTTAATGTATTGACACGACGCTATCCCGACACGACACGACACGTTTGCCAGGTCTATAGACACCCCAGAAACACCCAAATGCTCTCTTTTCTTCCGATCGACTACTCTCATGATCTCCTCCCTCTGTTCGATCTCTGTTCCATTTAAGTTTTCTTTTAATTTTTATTTTTTTTAGAAAAATGAAAAAGAAATAAAGAGATCTCTGTTCCATTTAAGTTTTCTTTTAATTTTTATTTTTTTTAGAAAAATGAAAAAGAAATAAAGAGATCTACGTGGATGTCCATGTGTATAAACGTATAATTATACCAACTAAATTCTTCTCAATCGCATATAAAATTCAGGTTATTATTAAATTGGGAAGAAAGAATTCATATTATTCTTTATTTTATTCTTTTCATATGTAATTTAAACAAAAAGACAAAAGTTGTTAGACTATACTAACAATTGCTCCAAATTATATGATGTCATTATTATCATGAACGTCTAACACACAATTACACAACTATAAAGAGGATAACGTTCCTCTCTCTTCATGATTAAAAATGTAAATGTTTGATAATATCTACCAATAAAAAGTGATGAAATTAGGTTCGGTAATATAGTAAATTCAGATATAATATTGAAGTGAACATGTTGGCTATATGCCTATATCATAGTAATAGAAACACAACATAGTTTGTCATCAAATGTGATAACAAAACCATGCAAAAGTTTTTTTTTTTAAGATCAATTGCTAATTTGATTTCGCTAACTCAAATCTTTATCATCTACCTTCACAAAAGACGAAAAACTTCATGTTTTTGGAACTGAGTTAAACGAAGAAGCATAAGAGGGGTGTATGTGAGACATCATGGAGATTGTCCGAAATGTTCATTGGTTCATCATCTCATGAATTTCTTTTTGCAAAGAATAAAAAACATACATAATAAATATCAATATAAATATTAAAATAAATATTTATAAACAAACAAATATAATATAATAAAAAAAATACCACATGCCAAATAAGCACCAAAATTGGTAGTTGTAGCCGGTAAAAATGGTATATCTAAATAAAAAAGTTGGTTACTCAAATTAACATATAACAACATACTTTTATGATATTAAACTTGCCATTTCGGGCAACTGCTTAGTAATTTTATTTACGAAAATTTGTATTCAGGGCATGTTTGGCAATGAGTTTTTTGGCTGCTTTTAGGAGCTAGAACCTTAACTTTTTTTTAAAAAGCTCGATTTACAGGAAAAAAAAATTTGTTTGAGAGTATGAGTTTAAAATTTAAATTTAGAACATAAACCTTTTAATTCAAAAGTTATTTCAAGTGACTTTTAAAGTAACGTTTCAGCCTATTATAACAATAGTACTATGTTACCCTATAACATCTTTAAATGTTATGTATCTTTTATTCGGATGTCATTTTATATAACTTTATATTTTTTTAAAAAAATTGCAAATATTTTTTGCTAAACATTTCTACACAAATAAAAATACAACTTCCCGTTAAAAATCAAAGCTACATATTCTAGCTTCCAACACTAGCTTCAACTTTAACTCCGGCTCCAACTTAAGCTTCATCTTCCTCCAACCATATTTTTACCGAACATATCATTAGTCTATCAGAATATTTATTAGATGATGAAAAATTCGAAAAAGAATCCTTGGTCATGTTGCAAATGGCATTGTAAACAATTTTCCGTTAACGGGGCCTTTTAGACAATATTTAAGGTCGCCGTGATAATAAAAGTTTTGTGTAGCCGATTAGCATTCATCTAAAAAGACATGTTTTGACTTCAGCTGGATGGATTTCCTTATTCTAAGGTGTTTTGTTTATATTTGAGACCAAGCATGCATATGCATTTTCATTATGGAGGAATTCTAATAAAACAGAAGAAACACAAGGTTGGGCCCCTATATGAGAAGCCTGGGATTGGCCTATTTTTTATAAGCTACACACGCAAAAGCAGAGTTGTCAGCAGCACGAAACGGCAAAACAAGGGACTGACATGTGCATTCATGGTTTGCCATTTTTGTAAATTTAAGATCAGAATCGAAATAACGACATTGTGTTTACTTGTTCAAAGCAACAAATGTATTATATTGAATATCAAACTCGACAAAATCATGACATAAAACAAAACAAAGCGAACAGGATCAATGAAAACTTCAACAAGTTGCATATTGTACTCCAAATTATTGTTTTACAATCAAGTTAACAGATATATTACAAGTATAAAAGGAATCATAATCAGAGGAAGTGCATGTAAGTTTTTGATTTTGAGAGAAATAAGACAAATAATTTACCTCCAATCTTCTTTTCATCTTCTTCGATTTGGGACAGACCAAACGGATTTGCAATAGGATAGAAAAGGTTTCTGGTTGGTTTCAGTAAATGGCTAATTTATAGTTTTGGTTCCATCATTTCAAATTTAGACTGCATTTACACTTAAATTCAGTTTTTGATTTTTAAAAAAGGGGGGGAGGGGGGGGGGGGGGTATATGACTTATATCATTAGAAAAAACAGTTTTATAGACATGTAAACTCTTGTGTTTATTGGTCGTCAAGCATCAAAATAGAGGGATACCATGAATTTGGGAATTTAAAAGTATTCATAATCAATCCAAAAGACATCTAAACAGGTTCAAAATAGATAATAAAGGCATTGTGTTTTAACAATCCTTATATTTTAACAATTAAACTTGTATCACTAAAACTTAATTGCCTTTGCAGGCAACGTTTTCGGGCGTTCGATAATTAGCTTGGCTTCTGGTGATGCACGTGGAAATTGCAAGTATACCAAATCTCGAAGCATCTTAACTTCTTCGTCAACAGAAACAGATGTACTGAGCTTGATTCGTGCTTTCTTAAGCAGAGGCGACTTACCCATTATGAGCTTTACAAATTCCATCTCAGAAGCATAGTTATGGAAACTTGTTATCACCAGTTCTTTAAGATGATCCAAGTTAAGCCCCAAATAATCTTGAGGATCAAGCAAAGTAGTGCAAGTTTGTGCAACATAACGAATCAACTAATCAGAAAACATGTCAAAATTGTCAATAAAATTATGAATATTCATTACCAACATGTGATAACATATAGTTTTCATTTACCCTCAAGTTAATTTTCTCTAAATTCGGGGAGCTGTTGATCACACATAGAGTGGAGGAAATCTGATCTTGTTCATGAAAACACACTTGAAGAACAAGTATCCTCAAGTAGACTAGTGAAGTGGGGAGCTTTTGTGATATAACACCTGCATAGAAGTCCTTTAACCAGATCCCAGAACATTAATGATTAAAACAAATATTCTTGCATGAGATAAAACAATCAAGTTAAGTATGTATTACCCTGTTGTCAAACCAAGAGATGTTCACAACTTGAACCGATGATAAACACGTAAACAACTCAATAAATGTACACTTGTTTCCTCCTGTAAAGTCTAAACAATCATATCCAATCTGCATAAATACATTTGTAAGAAGATATTTTACATTACGAAACTGCATGAGTCGTAGTTCTATGGACTTTATTTACCCATGTAAATTCCTCAAGTAGTGGGCAACTGATAAGGAATCGCTGCAGCATAGTGGCAGTGATGTCAACCTCATAAAATTTCAGGCTCTTCAACATACTAAATCCATTAAACGTTGATGGAACCTCAATTACACAATATTTGAGAGATAGGTGTTCTAATCCTTGCAATGAAAAGAATGAACACGGTAACTTGTAGTATTCATCGTATTGATAAGCTTCAAAAATAAATTTCTTGATATTTTTGCTCCATGAAAATGAAGTATTATCTGGTCAATCTCATTAAAAAATTTCTTCATCTGAGATACAAATACAAAGTTCCAATATCGGACCCCTGTGTAGCAACAAAACATGAAATATGGTAATGACAAGCTTATATTTTTTGACTTCTTCCATATCAGATTATGCATTACTGAGCCTATCATCAAATACAAGTTTAGGCATGCCCTTCCAGCAATGCCTCCATTTTTTTTGACAAAATGCTCGTCTTCAATGCATCTCTGATTGGCATAAAAGTCAGAATTTTTTCAATTATATCTTGAGGGAGATTGCTGATTCTATCCGAACTTTGCCGTTGAGCTTTCATAGTTCCTAAAGGTTGGATACTTCACAAGGCTGTAAAGTAGAATAAAATATGAATCTTAATTTGCTTCAAACGTATATGAACTGGTTACTTCAAAGCAAAATACAACTAATATATAGAAAGAGAAGACAAATATACAAATGAAAAACAAACATGCACATCATCAATAATACTATCTTAATATATTTTGTTTAACTACTACAGTTCTAAATTCCTTAGGTGATCACCAAATATATCTTATATCTATGTTACAATACATAATTCCCAGAGTTACCTGTGTCTATCCCTCCCAAAGCATTATATAATTGCTATAGCATGTTATATGACAATTAGACAATTAGACATCTATGAAGAGGATAACGTTCCCCTCTCTTCATGATTAAAATTTTAAATGTTTGATAATATCTACCAAATATATAAAAAGTGATGAAATTAGGTCCGATGTTTATAGTCAATAAAGATAATAACGAAAAGAACAACGTAGTTATATCAACTGTTAACACAACTAAACTTCATGAAGTTGAGATAATCAAAAGTTTGAAAGGAAACCTGAATGGTTTAGCTCTAGGCCCTAGGGTTCCGGTGGGTGGGACTTTGGGAGTTGAAGTCTTAAAAGACCGCCGATGACAAGAATGGAAGCAAAGATAAGGTTATATGGCGGGGTTTTTATAAATGTCTATTTTGTATATTTGATCCCTCCTTTTCCGATACTGAACTAAAAAGGTCCCTTTAAGTTTGCCCCTTTTTTGTATTTCTTTTAGAGTAAGACAAATTAAATTGTCTTCCATCTTTTAGCCTACAAATATTCCTACCCATTAAATTGAATGGATCATATAGTTTGGCCAAAATTTCACTTTTGGTCCTAGTATTGACTTTTTGTCATGGTGGTTCATGTAGAGGGTTTTGGTAACACAGTGCTCCGTTACCTTCTATATTCCACCATTAAGAGGGTATTTGGATAAATTAGCTTATAGCTTATAGCTTATTAGCTTATTGTTTATTAGCTTATTGCGGTGGGAATGAGTAGTTTTTGCAAAAGTATTTGGATTAGCTTATTGCGGTGGGAATAACCAATAAGCTGATAAACATTTTTAAGTGTTTGACAAACAAAATAGCTTATATGAGTAAAATGACCAAAATGAATTCCTCTTATATGTTGAAATATTTTTCTTATTAAAACAAAACAGTTTTGTTTTTGAAATAATAATAATAATAATTTTCTTATCCATAGGAACTAAAAAAACATTTACCACCCTATTTTTACACCTATTTTTTAATTGATCAATACATCTTTCGAAATAATCAAGAAACATGAGACCATAATTTTCTTATCCATAAGAACTAAAAAAAACATTTATCATGCAAACCTATATTAGACCACATATTTCATTCTAAATCCATATTATCCATCACACATAGTTATAACCCATTCCATATTATCCAAAATAGTTTCATGCTACTACATTAAATCATAAAATGAAAATATCAAAGAGTTTCAAAACAAATCATACGTCATTGCGTGCACGAGTGTTTGACTTTAAAAAAATCTGTCCCGCAATCATATTGCGTACTGCACTCATATACATATCGTCATATACATATCGTCATTTCTACGTTGTGCACTTAATAGTTCGTCATGTGGCTCAATACCATCATCGGGTTCTTCATCATTGCGTGGAATATAAGATTCTTCTTGCGCTATTTGAAATGTTGCATCACCACTACCGCTCATTTTAATGTAATTGTGAATCACCATTGAAGCTAGCAAAATTTTCACTTGGGTTTCGAAGTCGAAATTTACATGCATGTCTCTTAGTAACACCCGTCGAGCCTTCCAGACTCCAAAAGTTCGTTCAATTACATTGCGAAGTGACGAATGATAATAGTTAAAAAAAATTGAAGCCTTTCGGTTCCCGCGCAGCACGAGTCTGTCCACGTCTAAAATCAGGAATATGATAACAGATGTTTGAACCTTTGTAGGGAACAAGATAACCTTTTGTATTTGGATATCCGACGTCTACAAGGTAAAACTTACCTATAGAGGTACAAATAAAGCATATGATTGTTATTCATTTATACCGTTTGAAAATATAAAACTTCTATTAATAAATAATAATACTAACCATCGGCTGGAAATGTGAACTTAACTTCACGTCTCCTTCGCGCTTCATTTAAAATTCTCATGTCGTGTGCGCTCCCCTCCCATAAAGCCCATGCAAAGGTAAAGCACATTTTAAAATCACATGCTACCATAATATTTTGAGTAACACAATTCTTTCGTCCAATGTATTTGATTTGGTCACGTTGCGGAACAGAGGCCTTCATGTGTGTTCCATCGATAGCACCAATACAATCCTACAAATTCAAAAAATATAATAAGTTACCAATTATTTTTACAATTATACAAATTCACCAAATAACATAACTTTGCAATAAAATAAGTACCTTGAAGTATGGATAATACCGAGGGTTATTTAAAATATGTTCTGGTATAGTTTTGTTGTAGTTAGCATTTGGTTTGATGATGTCATTACTTAGGTTAACCACAACATCCAAGACTTTATGAAAATGCCTCTGGATTGTTTCCCCAAAATGGTTAAAGAACTCTTGAACTAACCGATTTCCACATCAATGCGCTAAGCACAACAAGAAAATACCAAGGGACTCTTGAATAGATATACGACGTGATTTCTTTAACCCATAATGTGCAACAAGATCCCTACATAACATGTTGAAAACCGGGACATGTAATCTGAAAAGTTCATAACATCGTCTCTCATGATCGTTAAGTATTTCATTGATAAGCATGCTTCCTGTGCGCGAAGATGAACGACGACGTCTACATACGTATTTCGATTTATGAGTCAATAGTAACCCTTTGACAGCAAGCCCACATAAAAGAAGCGTTTGAATCTCTTCATTTTCTTCAATTTCATCACAAGAGTCATCACTGTCATGAGTCGTCACTGGCCATGAAATAACCTGTTAATAAACGAAAAGGAAAAAAGGGTAATATGGAGATTTACCACCTACTACATAAAATCATGGAAAAGGAAACAAAAGCAAAATCATGGGGCAAGGGTAAAATTGACCCCAAAACAAACATGCAACATGATTGCATTAAAACAAACACAAAACAACCATTCAAAGTCAACGCAATAGATAAAAGGATAAGTCTAACACATGACAATCGTTTAAAGTCAACCTAATATATAAAAGGATAAGTCTAACACATGACATCAAAGTAGAGTATGTATTCAACTACTTCTCTTTCTCTATAAGCCTCTTGAGAAACTTCATCTTTGTTTCATCAGTCTTTGGAACCATAAAATTATGGCGATCTGGCTTCTTTAGAAAGACCTATAATGCTTCCAACTATCCTATTGAGCCTTCTTCAAAATCCGGGAAAGTAGACACAATTGTCATGCAATCTTCTATTGTCGGTGAGTGTGTGGTTTGTCTTGAGGTCTGAGTGCTCCTTGTTAACAAAACATCAAAAACAGTGTCCAGCTTCTCTTCATATAACGAGCTTACCATACTTTTTCCATCAAATTTTCTTTTGTTGTCATGCCTGGGAGTTAACTTCTTTCCCCTCCTTTTCTTACTAGAACTAAAAGGATCAACATCATCAAATAAGAGGACTTCGTCACTAGCTTCTTTTCCATCCGTAATATCCACAAATTATACATCATCCGGAGTGCTACTGTCGCCAAATTCGCAAGGTACCTTAGCCTTGTCTCCAACAGCTACGGTATCCCGAAATAAAGCCTCGCAATATGTCTCATATACCTCCAAATTCTTATCCTTAAACTTAGCATACTCTTTATCTTCCTATATGTAGAAAATGAGAATGTCACAAAAAAACACAATACAAATAATAAATTGCTAGATAAAATTTATAATTGTTACCTTTATTTTCTCATCCCACCATTCCTTTGATGCTGAGATTATATTTCTCACAGGATCAATTGAAATTCCCGTTTCTAGTCTTGTTAAACGGTCATAATATTTGAAGTCTTTCCACATAATGTCCCATTTGTTTTTCATTTGATTTTTGTCCAAATCTTTACCTGTTCATTCCAAAAGCCTCTTACATATATTTTGGCATGCGATCTTATTGAAATAAGTACCCGGTCTATTCCCATTTTTTAGCTCGTTCATACATTCCTCAAGAAACACCTTGAATGTATGAGGATCCCAATTAAATCTATTTGTAACTTTCAGTTTGGGTGTATCAATACCCACATCATGAACATTGACAACTTCCATTACCTATATTGAATCATGGTAACGAATGAAGAAAATTCTGAATTTTCACCCCTAATGTTGAATCAAAACACGTAGAGGAATTTGTAAATGCAAACAAGAATCACTAGCATCAATAGCAACAAATAACAATAAGAATCAAGGATGAAGAAAAAAAGAAGCATCACAAGGGCGAGTTTTCTGTAGCAGCAAACAGATAGAAGCAAAAGAAAAAAGAAACACACAGAGGAATTTGTAAATGCAAACAAGAATCACTAGCATCAATAGCAGCAAATAACAACAAGAATCAAGGATGAAGAAAACAAAGAAGCATCACAGGGGCGAGAAGGGAAGAAGCAAACAGGTAGAAGTAGAAGAAAAAAGAAAATCACAGGTGCGATTTATGCAAGATGAAATTTTTTTTTTTGATGAAAACACAAACCTGATCGTCGATGGTTTCCAGGTAAGGGTGAGCAAAAACCGCACCGCACTTAAAGATAACCGAAAAATCCGCATAAACCGCAACCACAACGATAACCGACGGTGAAGTTTTCTGTTTTTCAAATGCCACAAATTTGCGGTGCGGTGCGGTTATTAATTTTCAAAAACCGCAAGAAAACCGCACCACACCACGTATATTATAATATTATATACATTTTTTTACTTATTAATATATTAAAAAAAAATAACTAAAAGTTGAGTCTTTGAACTGAATGGGACTTCTCAAAAAAAAATTCCATAGTGTTTTCCCTAGCCTCACTCACGCACTCATACTCAAACAATAAATATTGCCTCCTGCTTAACTCGTACTTTAAGATATTTATTGTTAATTACTAATGATTTGACGTTTTTAAGATATTAGTTGTTTGTGATTTAAGTTAATTGTATTATACGGTATGTTTTTTTATTATTATTATTACAAGTAACATGTTTGAACTCTTAAAACCATTTAAAAAACTATTAATTATTCATACGAGTCATGCAAAATCATAAATGGTTAACTGCGGTTAAAATCACACAAAATAACCGCACTAAATAACCACACCAAATCCATGCGGTTAATAACCAAACCACAAATAAAAAAACGCACCTCAAAAATAACCACATAACCGCACAGCAAAAATGACCGCACCGATTGGTTTTGAAAATGAATTAACTGTATTTGTGGTTAGCGTTGAAGTTTTCGCCAATAACCACACCGAACCGCACCGCACTCACCCCTACTTCCAGGGTCGATGGCAGTTCTTGCGAGAAGGGAATAGCGAATGGCAGAAGATTGTGAAGGATTTGATCGAGAAAGGGTTTATGGGTTTACGTATCGTTATTTTAAAAGGATTCCTATCCAAACACTTTTGCTTATTAAAATCAGCTTATTTAGCTTATTCATACCAATATAAGCTGATTTTTAAGGATTCCTATCCAAACACTTAAACTTAGCTTATTGTGGTGGGAATAAGCAATAAGCACCCTCTTTTTTCCCTATCCAAACACCCTCTAAATAGATGATAAATAACAAAAATACCCTCACTTTTCGTTCTTAAACCCTAAAAATCGATTCAACGTCAGCGTCGATGCTGACTCCCTCCATCCGACGACAATTGCTCTCTCACATTTCACTATTGCTCTTGCACCACCATCCTCTCCGATTGGAACAAAGCTTCAACTATCGACTCCAACGCCTCCAGTCGGAATCCACCTCTCGCTCATGGAAACATTAAAAACCCCTTCTGCCATTGGTGGTGGTGATTAACCCCTTCTGCGATTAGTATTATTTTTAGATTACATTTTGTTGTTTTTCCGACATATCTAATGATGGTTGGTAACAGTGATGGTGTTGATTGGGGCTGGTAATATCGATGGGGCTAATGGTAATCGGTGATAGTGATGATGGTGATTACCAGTGGGGTTGATGGTGATTGGTGAGATAGTTGTGTGTTGGTTGTTAGTGGCGATGGTGGTGATTGGCGGTGGTGATGGTGATAGTTGGCGGTGTTAATGGTTGTGGTTCCCCCAAACCACGTACATACCCCTTCACGATTCTACATACCGAAATCGATTCATAAAGAATGGAATCAAAATTCATCACTTTTATTTTGAATTGATTAATATCGCAAGGAAGCTCACCACAATTTTAAGGATTGTACTTTTTTTCTTCTTGGCTATTTTATATATGTGTATCACATCCCCTTTATATAAATTTGAATTTTTGCATTCAGTTGATTGTTTTCAATTGGTTATCATCTAAAAATTTTAGGGATTTTTCTTGTCTATTAGATGTTTGATGAAATGGCACTATGAAGCATGTCCCGAGTCCATTAATTGTGTCAAAAAAAGAATTGGTCATTTGTTTCCACCACCTGTTATCTAAATGCAATACATTGATTGGATGAGAGAAAACATGAAAGCAACATTTGGGGACTGAGGGTGCTTTTTGTTGATTTGGGACGACGGCCAAATTGTCATTTTTAATAATCAACAGCCACAATGTTAATATGGTTAGGTTTAAAGATCAAAGGTGTTACCAAAACCCTGTATATATAACACTCATGACAAAAAGCTAATAGCCCAATACAAGGACTAAAAGTGCGATTTTGGCTAGACCTTACCATAATTGTATCTTACTCTATCTTTTATTATAATTATTAGACTAAATTCAAAAATGGTCCCTATGGTTTAGCGAATAGCACATTTTTGGTCCATGTTTCATTTTGTATCAATTTCGTCCATATAGTTTCTAATTATTTTAATGTTGGTCCAACCCACTAACCTCATCTAAATAGAACCGCATAAGGGGATCAATGTTTTGCACATGTGGGTTTCTTCGTCTGATTAGGTTATAACTTTGTAGATGTGTATAAAAATGTATATACATTTAGAGATCAAAGGGAATTCAATCCATCACATGCCCAAAAGGTTCAATCAGTACATCGTTACCATCAATTATCTCTAACCACATAAACACCATTTTTCTTCATAACCAAACATCAACACCACCAAGCCATCATCATCTTATCACAATCACTTTCACTTTCGGATCGACCACCACCGAGATCCATCTCCATCACCGCATTCACCACCCACTATCATCGGAGCCACACCAACACTACACTTCATCACCATAAAACACCACCTGCGATCACCTTATTCCTTACATCAAACAAACCCCCACATATTCGGGATCTTCAAGCTATGCTTAAAGATATAATAGAAAGGAATAATAAAAATAAAGAAATAAATTAGAAAGATATTTATACTTTGTGATATATATTTCAAATTGTTATTATTAAAATGAAATAAATAAAATATTTATCTTTTACTTTTGATTTTAACAGAGTTATTTAGGGGCAGGGTTTTGTATCATCCTAAAGTTATAAATATAAATTGTTTTCTGTATTTGTTATTTTTTTTTGTTTGAAATTTTCATATTGCAGTCAAACTAAACCCAATCCTCTAATCTAATCAATAAAACCATTTTCACCACGTGGCATTTACTCAGCCACTCCGGAACTTATTTTCTCGCTCACTTCCCTCAACTGCAATTACTAAACTACCCTTCTAAACTTCAAATTAGTCAACGATATTCATAATCAATCGCGTTAATTTTGCAACAAATTGATTGACTAAATATCATCTGCATAAAGAAGATACCCAGTTTAATTATCGGTTTAACCTATTAACTCCTTTATTTACGCTTAAATTTTCTCTGCTAATGAAACTTAATCCCAATATATCTTCTTAATTTTTCAAAACCACGATCCTACAAAATCAGGGACGTAATCGAAAGAAATCACATACATATCTTCTTCCTTTCTCTCTCTCTCGAACACCTGGATGGGGAGTTCTTCGTTTGTGTTCTATTGCTCATAATTTGATTTGATTTATTGTTGCAGGTCTAAGTAATTTGAAGAAGTTTGGTCCCGATGACATGAAACCGTCGTTAAAACAAACAAATTGTAAGGTCACAATTTTTCCTTCGTTCTCGGTACTTTATCGCAGCCCTATCTCCCTCTTTCTCGAATTCTGATTTCTTCTCCACATTCCTCTATTAAAGGAGGTAGGCGGTGGTTCGGTTATATGGTCGTCTTAGGATTCTGGTCTCATCAATTGGTTTAACCACATACAGATGTTAACAATGATGGATTCACTTTGAGAATTTATGGTTCGCGAATTCTTCTTATTAAGGTTCTTAATTCATGGTATTTTATTTTATTTTTTCTGTTCTATCTTTCTTATCATTACAAGGTCTTTCTACCAAAAATTTGCTCCTTCGTTGTTTGAATTATTGGCTAAAGGGTTGAATTATTGGGTAAAGGTTAGGGACAAACTGTAACATCCATAAAATTCATGAAAATTTAAAACTTTTTCAAGCATTCAAAAACCATTATTTATTACAAAAATGTTTTCAAAATAATTTCATATCAGAGTATCCCAGAAATCAAAATCATAAAATGTGAGGAGGTGCATGATCACGCCTTCGCCTTCCTGCGATCATCTGAAGTACCTGAAACAAAATCCAAAACTGTAAGCCCGAAGATTATGTGTGTCCCCCCAATATACCAACGCCATACAAACATAGCCATATCATAGCAAACAAACAACATGCATATTGAGCCATCAGCCTGACTGGACCGCCTTGTAGGGCATCAGCCTATCTGGACTGCTCTCCGAGCCATCAGCACATCTGGACCGCCTCGCAGGCCTTCAGCCTATCCGGACCGCACGCCAGGCCTCCGGTCCGACTAGTATGCCCTTACCGGGTCTACAGTCTATCTGGGCCGCCCTGGGTATGTTGGCCTAGAGCA